CTGTGTTTCCAGTTCCTATCTGTACCAGTGTACATCCTCTGGTCTAGCCAGACCTGCAAGGTAGAATTCGTGTCATGATAGTGGGAACAGGGAGGAAACATTTAGGAACTAGAGGAAAGTTGTATTTTTCATCGTTGCTACATCGCACCCTGACTGGCTCATCGATCGGAGGATTTTTGATAATTTTATAATTACCAAATTATATAATTGGGTAATTTGGTGTAAATTATTGTCATCACTCAAAAAAACTCATTACCGTTGAGTCAGTTCCGACTCACTAGGGACCCTTTAGGATGGGGTAGAGCGCCCCTGTAGGTTCCTAAGACTAACTCTTTATGGGAGCGGAAGTCTCATCTTTCTCCCGCAGAGCAGTTGCTGGTTTAGAACTGTTGGCATTGAGGTTTGCAGCTCAGCCCATAACCTCCTATGCCACCAGGCTCCAGTTATCAGTATGGTCAGTTCTAAATGAGAATTGCATGGACTTTCTGGACAAAATGGGAAGCTTCATAATCCATGAAATTTTCATTGTGCCTTGGTGATTAGAACTTGTTTGTAAATCTGGAATATGTAAATATGTGATAGAAGATACACTGCTACATTGGTGTAATTGAAATCTTAGAAAAGTGTAGTAAGAGGATTATTTTTTAGTAGCTTAGAGAGAAACTGGCACTGCAGAGATTAAGTGAACACGTTTCACCCATAACTAGTGGAATTTTATTGCAGATAATAAAAGCAAGTTTTTATTTTTGCAGATATGCAATATGATGAGGACGATGATGAAATCACCCCTGATTTATGGCAAGAAGCATGTTGGATTGTAATCAGGTAACATTTTAGAACAAACGGAAAAAGCTTTTAAAGGCATATGTAAAGAATTTCCTAGTTGTTGTGTTTATGAGAACCATTATGTTAAAAGCACACAGAAAATGCAGTATGTTACATGAGAGCCTGTTTTCACCTTACTCTTACATATTTTGATTTTTATCTTAAAAATATTTAGGACTTAAAAGTTACACAAAGAATTCATATACATCTGACACCTGGGTTCTCTAAATGTTTACCTTTTACTATCTTAAAAAAATCTTTTGTTTTCAGAATGTGAATGTGATATTATTTAATGTCATGATCATAGTGGTAGAGGTCATAAATATCAACTGCTTTTATAATTTTAGGCATTTGAAGGTTAGTATTCTGCTGAAACATTTTCTAATGATTTTGAGGAATGTAGTTCATGGTTCATTTTCATTGTGTAGTGAAACTTGTCTGAAGTTTTGGAATGAAGTTTCAGTTTAAATTGACCCTGAAAGGTGTTGCTGTTTATATTACAGGCAGTGCCATCTGTGTTTTTCTGCCCCATCAATGACTGGCTCAGGTGGTTACTGAGAAGTTTCCTTTCTGTCACAGTTTCTCCTGCAGGAAATTGCCTGGGCAGCCTCAGGCTATCCCGTACGCACCAATGGTTGTGTGCTGCATGCTCCATTTAGAGCCTCCTTGTGATACTGGTGGCCGTGCTGGGACCCTGACCAAAACCAAGTCATTGGCTTGTCAGTGACCTGATGATGCCCAAATAGGAGACTGATGATAGGAGCTGGGCAAAGCAGACTGTCTTGGAAAATTGAAGTGAGGACGGAGGAGTCCGTCGTGTGTAGGGAGAAGATGGTTGAAGCTAAGGCCATAGCACGGGTGAAAGAGGCAGTGGTCACAAGCTGAGGGTTCAGAGCTGGGTGGTGGCTCAGTTTCTGCTGCCAGGGCAGTGGGGGTGGTGAGGGGATGACCCAGTCCTGAGGGTTTTGTTAGCTATCCGGGTTCTTCTGGTTTCTCTGATACCTAGCTGCACCGCTCTTGGAGTGTGATCTCTGAGATTCTTCCTGTACTTACGTCGACTTGTATCTCAGTATATAGCCTTCTCTTGTCCCATCTGTGCCAGGGTCTGCTCCTTGTGAGCAATAAACACTTTTTTAGGTCACTCAGCCTCTAGAGCTTCACTTTTCCATAGTCAGTAAAACACAGGTAAACATCTTTTTTATATTCTCTGCTTTTAATTTTGGTCCATCTGGCACTAGCAGTGAGATCCTCTATCATTTTTGTCCTCATCTGAATCTGACTTGAATTAGTCTTTGTTTTCCTTACTTTTTTTCTCTTGTTGCTTCTCTCAAGAAATGTTGAATGAAGTATGTCTCTGAAAGAAATGTATAGATCAGGGTTCTTTATAGTTCTTCATTATGCTATTATTATTTTGCTTATCTAAGCTGATTTTTCCAACCTTAACAATCGGCTTTATGAAGACAGTGTTGCTGGCCTCCTCCTTTGTTTGGATACCTCGGACCATCTTGTGCAGTGATTTGGTATATAGTCGGTACTGAATCAGTATTCATTCATTGGATTAAAGTGAAAATGGAAAAAGTGATGTATGGAAAGCATCTCTGAGTTGTAACTGATGATAAACTCACATGTTTCCCCAGTTCCTATTTTGACGAGAAAGGCTTGGTCAGACAACAGCTGGATTCTTTTGATGAGTTTATTCAGATGTCTGTTCAGAGAATTGTGGAAGATGCACCCCCTATTGACCTGCAGGCCGAAGCTCAGCATGCCAGTGGAGAAGTCGAAGAACCGGTAAGATGCTTATTTTAATAAAGCAACGTAGTCAAAGGAGAGTGTTGGTTTGAAGTTATAGGCCTAATGATAAATTCAAACATCTCATGATTTGAAAGGTTAAAAAAAGCAAAAAGAGAAAAAAAACCTAGTGGGTGATTTCAATAGGATAATTACAGCAGTTTCAACTAGCACTTGGCTCAGTCTTACTGATGGAGCAGTGAAGAGCTCTGGGGGTGCTGTTGGGTAAGCAGTAGGTTGCTAACCGCAGGGTCCTTGGTGCACTAGAGAGAGAACGAGAAGGCTAACTGCCTCAGAACCTGTTAGAGCAGGGTTTTCTAGAGAGGCTGGGACCGCCCTCTGGCGAGCACTGGAATGATCTGAAAGCGGACATCCAGACTTCACCCTGCCTTGTGGGCTAGAGCACAAAAGCTTTTAATCGCCCCAGGGGGCACTGAGTTGTTTTTTAGTGAAAAGGGGGTGGTAGGCCAACTAAGTTTGGGGACTGATGCTGTATGGTTGTGGTGAGTCAGAATTGACAGGATGGCAGTGGGTTTGGGGAATAAAGAGATGAGTTTTTGAAACCCTCATACTTCAACTGACTAAAATCACAAAGGAGTCGCTCTTGATTCTGACTCCTGGCTGACCTCATGTGTTTCAGAGTAGAACTGCACTCCACAGGGTTTTTTGTTTTGTTTTGTTTTTTACTCCACTGGGTTTTTAATGACTTTTGAAAGCGGTTGCTGGGCCTTTCTTCCAAGGTGCCTCTGAGTGGATTTGAACTGCCGAACTTCCCATTAGTAGTTGCGTGTTTGTGCCATCCCAATTAAAAAAAAAAATTCCCTTGCCTTCGGTTCATTTTTGCTTGTTGTTGCTTTTGCTTCCTTGGCTTTTTTCCCTTTTTTTCCCGGTTACCCTGTTTTGCCTGAGCAGTTTGCAACCCTGGCAAACATGGCTAGAAATGTTTTGGGTGCATTGTGCATTGGATTTGTATTAAGTTTTGGTCATTGCGGGTTCTTTTATTGTTGGCAAATTTTGTGCGACTCCCTAATTAATTTAAGAAGCTTTGTTCTATAGGGTTTCTGAGGCTGTAAAACATTATAGGAGCAGGTAGCATCATCTCACTCTTGTGTGGCTGGTGGCTTTGAACTGTTAACCTGGCAGTTAGCAGTCTACACTTAACCCTACAGCACCACCAGGGCACCATCCAGTAGGTATTTAATATGGTAGTTGGGAAGGAGGGAACTTAGATAATTCAGTGCAACCAACCAGAAATAGTAGTTTTGTTTCAGATAACTTCAATGTTTATTTCACAGTAAAGGCATTATAAGAGCAAAAGTGTTTGAATAATTTTGAGAGACTTTTTCTCTTGATTTTAATTTATTCCATGAATTGTAACAATGAGAGCGTGAAAGAAAATCATCTCCACATATCAGCTATTTTCATTTTTCTCAGTTTTTAATGGCCTTGGGTGACACATGCATATTTTGATGTCACTCAAATCATAGCCTGTGTATAATTTTTTTATTAAATAATTTTATTGGGGCTCTTACATCTCTTTTCACAATCCATACATTCATCCAGTGTGTCAAGCACATTTGCATGTATGCTGCCATCATCATTTCAAAGCATTTTCTACTTGAGCCCTTGATAGCAGCAGCTCATTTTTTCCCTCTCCCTCCCCGCCTGCCCCCGCATGACCCTTGACAAGTTATAGATTATTATTTTTCCAGGGTATAATTTTATAATTTGGCTTTCACACGTAGTTACAAAGAAGTAAGTAGTCAAACATCATGACAGCGCTCAGTTTTAGAGTGGTGGAGAAGCACCTGGAGGAATGAATTGTTCTTTGAAAGACACAGAAACCTTGCGGGAGGCAGGGCTAAACCTTGTAACAGAATAAGAGCTAGAGAGAGGGTTTGTTTTTAACCAGTTCAGAACCTCTTCTCTGTTGCTAAGCCAAGCCCCTAGGGCTAGTCTGTTACTCTCAGTCTAGTGAGAGATGCTATGCAGGATTCTACTGTTAAAGACATGAATGGCTCTCTGGCCGGCGCTGGAAAGAGTAGCCTTTCAGTGAGTTTTCTTCTTCGCCTTTGCATAATGAGAGAGATGCAGGATGCCGACATAGCGTATTCAAAGTGCCAGGACTGAGTGCTGCAAGGAACAGAGCCCCATTGAAAAGATGACGGGGAATTTGACACTTGACCTTGAAGGGTGGAGAGGACTTCAGTTGAGAAATGATCCTTTGCTATTTCATTAAGAAAGTATGTGGTGTATTTGGCTTTTCATGGGATGGATCCCATAAAACCTGTGTGTGAGTTTCGGTTTGGTCTGTTTTTGATAGATGGTACCATGTATACTCGTGTATAAGCTAAGTTTTTCAGCACATTTCTATGCCATTTTTGTGGTAAAATTGGGTGCCTTGGCTGATATTCAGGTGGACTTATACTCCATTATGTACGGTGGTTAGAGATCAGTTGTCCTCCAACTAGGGGCTGTGGGCCACATGCGGCCCACTGAGGACATTCATCTGGCCCCCGGGAGTTTTTGCCCCGTTTGTTTTTTTACTTCAAAATAAGATATGTGCAATGTGCATAGGAATTTGTTCATAGTTTTTTTTTAAAAACTATAGTCTGGCCCTCCAATGGGTCTGAGGGACAGTGAACTGGCTCCCTGTTTAAAACGTTTGAGGACCCCTCGTCTGGATGATGCGACAAGCTGTGGAAAGATGGTTGAAGAATACGTATAAAGTGTTTTTTTTTTAAAGGAGAGTCACTTTGGATATGGTATTGAGTTGGGGTACAAAGAGGCAGGAGGCAGATTAAAATCTTGGCTTAGTGGAGGGAGGGGGGCGTGGAAAGGGGGAACTGATTACA